CGGAAAATCAACTAACGACTGGAGACGTAACAGATTGTTTTAATGTGTGCAAGTTGATGTGTAGTCTCCTTCTTTGTGTCAAACTCAACCAAAGTTAAGGAAACTAAGGTTTCTGATCCTCAATACATTTTCTGGCAAGTCTCCAATTATCTTGCAGTTCCTACCCATCATTGTAAAGAAAGTTAGTGAATCTTAAAACACCACAGTAATAAGATTAAGCTAAAAATACTGACAAGTTTATCTTACAGATTACATATGATTTTATTTGCCATAAGATTCTTGATTTACCCATGCTTCAGTATTTAAGTTCCAAAATGGATCTTTCCATGGGTAATGAATCTTTGTTCAAAGGAGGATTCTTTGACAAGTTCTGAATTATAATGTTAGACTTGCTATACATACTACCTCAAGACCCATCTCTACTGTTAGTCTTAACTGTTTCTGAGACCTTATCAAATATATCTCATAACTAAAAGTAATCTTAGTGATAGAATGATGTTAATCAACATAAACTGGAGCTATTTACCTTTCTGTAACCAGGTTCATTGTACTTTTTTCAGACGTGATCATGTTACTGTTGTATCTTGAAAATCTGTTACCAAACACGTATTTCTGACATTTTCTTAATAGGTATCATTGATAAACTCTATGTTTTGTCCACTCTTTAAAAATTCTGTATTGCTAGAAAATTTAGTACTGACATTTTTCCTTCTGAAATCATATCAGCATCTGTGAAATTGTGTATATATGTCATCTTACTTAGTTTCAGTACTTTGATTTCTTTAGATACAATTTATCCAGATATGATCCCAGAACCAGACTACAGTGACTCGGAAGAAGATAAAGATAGAAAAGGCCATCAATCCCGATCAAGAGCTAGATCAACCAGTGGGATTCACTATAGTGAAGAAGGTTTGATTTTGCCCAAGAAGCCTGCTAATCCTTGTCTTGAATCATCTGAGAGACAAAATCTTCATAGGGAACTCCTTTTCAACCAGAGAATGTGAGAATTCCTCTCTTACTTTGACTGTAGATAATCAGTTACATGTTTTTATTTTTTACTTTTGACTTTGGTTTAATAAGACATATTTTAGTAAAAAATTAACAAACCTTTGCATATCATTCACGAAATTAGATGTCATTACTGAGACTATATCCATCATCAAAAATGGTCTTCAATGAAAGAAGGTAGATTTCCTCATTCTATGAATAGAAGAACAAAAAAATAGTGAGCATTTTGTTGTTCTCTATAGAGGAAGATAGTTATTTAATCCATATCGTGAAGAAAAAGAAAACCATGAAGATTGTACTGATTTTTAAGTAGGAAATACTTGTTTTATTAAATATTTTCATAATGACTCGTGGTGAATGGGGTAGTAATGTCAGTCAATAAGTAGAAAGCATGTGAAGAAAAAGCTGTATAAATGTTGCTGACTTGAAATCAGGGAACACAATAAGAACACAGTTAAGATGAAATGTAGCATCCTTGAGCATGCATTAGTTTTTCAAGATCATCAGCACAACCTTTCATAGGTATAATTTACACGGGCCAGGGAAGCATGACCCCCCCCTCATTTTTTCAGAATTGAGGATTGTTTTCTTCACATTTTAATAGCAGTTAAATGTAATACACTGGGAATAAACAGCCATGTGACTAATGTCATAGTTACCCAAACTCCACTTTTGAAATGAAAGTTATACCCCTGGAGCCTAATAAAAAAACTTGCTTCCTACATGTAAATCTAACTTTAAATGAGAACCAGTCTTCACATCTACTACATTGCGAGTCAAACTTTTGATTTTAAGTTACAAAGCAAGCTGTACACACACAATAAATTAAATTTAAACATCTATATGACATGTTGCACAGAGAACCTAAATATGAATATGTTGTAACATACCTACTCACTAATTATCTACATATTAGAAATAATCCTATGAACCATTACATGATGTTACATATTTTGTATGTCATATTAATGTATGTCAGCATTGATACTTGTTACACATAATTATCATGTAAAAAGCTAGTCCATTGATTTTCAATGGAAAGAAAGTTTGTTGAAACATTCTGAACTTTCTGAAAGATAAATATTGTCATAATTATGACAATGTCAAACATTGAAACTTATGCCTCCTGATGGCTCAGTGGTAAGTCTGAGGACTTGTAGTGCTAGAAATTGGCTTTTCATACCCCAGGTGGGCAGAGCACAGGTAGCCAATTTTGTAGTTTTGTGTTTAGCAACAAACAAACAGATGGCCCACTTATTTATTTTTTGCCAATTTTATAAATATTTTTTATTCTTATTTTATAATAAGTTGTGCTTTACACTGATTTATTATTTAGTTTGTAATAATAATGTTGTTTTTAAAAAGAAAAATATGATGTCAATTTAAAAATTTGTTTTTCAAATGTAAAATTCTTTTAAATATTATGTATACAGAGCAATTCTTTAGAAATATATTTTTATGTGATTAACGTGTGTACTAGAAAATGGTAGTATATACTTAAGCTAAATGACTAATCCAATGCATGTATGTTGTGCATATGTTATTGTATTATCTAGAAAGGGTTACATATGCATACCAAATGAAAAATGTATGCAAGAGACCACATGCAGTTTAATACATTCAACCAGCACATTGACTAATACTAACATGATAGCCACATTTGAGCAGCTAAGACTTTGAATAATCTCACTGTTTGTTTTCCTCAGTTGTTGGTCCAGTAATGTCCTTTTTTCATTTAAAAAGCATTTTAACTAGAAGGTTTTATTATAAACACAGGTGTATTCATTATGTATTGTAATGTAACCTTGTCAAAATCAACTTCATCAAACATTTTCATAAACCAGTTATGCTGGCAGGGTTTAATTAATTAACTTTGAACTAACTTTGGTCAGAGAACATGTTAAATGAACTTGTTATTAGCTATTGAGATTGCACTTGGAGAAAAACTGTGTTAATAACCATCAAAATGTTAATATATTTTATACTATATTTCACCTAGAACTACTAGTAATTTATCCAAACCAGGGTTTGTACTGTAATAAATAATCCTATTAGGCTACCGGTTACAAATATTTGAACTAATTTTTAATAATATATCATCTCTGTATAAATACCAGACTGTATAATAGTGTCTCTAAGTATCTTATATCTTTATATAAGTTAATATATTATTTAACAAGCTTCACTTAGGTCGTGGCCACAAATCTACCATAGTGATTGTGTGTTTAAAAATATTCTCCAAGCCACATTCTGGAATACCATACATGGTGTGCTCTGACCTATATTTTCATAACAATTCCTCAAATCAGAAGCATTTTTTCTCAGCTTTGCACCTGTTCCATTAAAGGCCAAATACACAGAATATCTAGTTTTTAAATGTATCATTTTTTCTAATTAAGCTATTAGATTTTAAAGTACATTTTTTGTTTACATTTTCTCTGTAGGGGGAAGAATGTACTAAACCAGAAAACAGAGCTACAGAAGGCTCTGGCCAAGTTTAAAGATGAGCAGAAGAAAAAAGCAATAGAAGAAGAGAAACAGAATAAACGTACAGCCTTAGAGAAAAAGTTGGAGGAACAGGCCAGTAAGATCAAACAAGTAAGATGTTAGGTTATGTTAAGTTCATTGAATTGTGTTAGCAAAATATTCATGCTTGAAAACATTAAGATGATACAAGTAAGACTTACTGACTTAAGCTACAAAGTCAGACAGGTAAGGAACTGAGAATAATTAGAGAAAAGAAGAAAGAGGATCACAAACACACAAAAGCCAAAGTAGTGACTCAGTCAAGTTAGTAAAAGAAAAGTACAGTATAAAGAATAATGAAAAAAAACAATTAAAAACAAAAAGATCACTACTATGGACTCTTATTTACCCATTAAAAATACATCCTACAAGGTTTGTACTCCTAGAGTCAAATGTACAAGTTATCAGTTTATAAATTTTGCAGAGAAGACTGGAGGATTGAAACCATGTTTCCAAAAAAAAAAACTCCAGAAAAAACAATTTCTAACAAAACATGATACAGTAGATAAAGTACCCTTTAAGATTAAGCTCTTAGTAAAATGTAATAGGTTCCTTGATCCTAAATTCAAAGAGTCTCTCCTGTTTTAATTTTGTAAACCTAAAATGAATAGAAATAATTCTTGACCTTTTTAATTATTATTTTTTTTGTTCGATAGCTTCCATTTTTCTGTCACTTAGTCATTCGAATGCCATTTAATGTGCATGCAATAACCCATGACATTAATTTTATAAAGTCAGGTTTAAGTTGTTGTAGGTTTTTCAGTTATCAGTTTGTATTTCTATGTGATGCTGTAACCCCTGAGATGTAAGCCAAAATGTTGGGTTTGAATAAAATCGTTTTTTTTTTGTAAAGATGGTAAATATGCAAAAGTTATTTTTTTCATAATTACACCATGCCATACATACATTTTACAACTCTCCTACAGTTTGTAACAGACATGCTACAATCTAACTGGTGCTTGCATTAGATACCTAGTAGATGAAAGCAGGGAACTGTCTAGGTTTTATGTTTAGTTTCAAGGTCATGGAGGTTTTTTATTTAATTAAATAAACACTTTCAACTTACCTGCAATCTCATATGTCGGGCAAAACCCAAAGCATGCATATAATATCCTAGGAAGGCAGACAGGGAACTGTCTAGTTTTGACTAAGTTTACATATAAGTAAAGAGCAAAAATATGTGGTATCAGTAGAAAAACATAATACATAAAAAATATGGCCAAGCTAGAAAATAATCAAATTCAAAAATGATGCTTAAAGGTTGTGATATACTAATGAAAAGCCAAGGTAGGTTTTTGATTGTCTTACTGGACTTTGTATTCTTTTAAATGTGATTTTTAAATAAAGTATAGAGCACCTGAATTTGTTTGAGAATTGAAAACCAAGCCTAACAATTCAGTGTGATATCATAACTTGAACATATTTTTTTGCCTATTTCCTTTGTCAGGTTTTATGTATGTATGGG